AGAGAGAGAGAGAGAGAGAGAGAGAGAGAGAGAGAGAGAGAGAGAGAGAGAGAGAAAGAGGACGAGGAAGGACAGGGAGAGGGAAACGGGGAGAGAAGAGAGAGGATAAAGAGAGTGGAAAGAGAGGAACGCACATCTGCTTACCAATGCAACAACACCACTGATAAAAGGCGGAGAGGAAATCGGTGCCGTTCGTTGCAAGAACTTGTTCAATCCTGGAAGAACACGTGGCACTAACTCCGAAGGATCACTAGCACAGAGTTCCTGGAGCAAGTAGACCTACATCGAACACAGTGTACCCAAATCTCAGGATTTAATATTTATTCATTTATTTAGTATTTACTTGATTAAGTTTTAAGGGTGTGGCCCCTGGCCTTGTCGTATCCATCCCATCCCGTCAAGATCCCATCAACATTCGAACAGTTGTGACTGTGTACCATTCACCCCTACAAATAGCTTTGGTTTCCGTACCTGTTTTTTTTTTGCGGGGGGGGAGGCGGGGGGGGTTCCTTACTGTTTCCAAAATGTACTCGAGAAATCATCATCATCAACTGACATTTTTTGGCATTTCTTGTTCACATTTCGTTACCTTTTCGACCTGTTTATAAGTTTTTTTTTGGTTTTGTTTAATTTTTTTTGGGGTCCCCCCCCGCCCCCCTCTCTGAACCTATTACAAAAAAGAACTGGATTATTATCATTCAAATTTCAAAACCTTTCATGAAATGACCTGCGTAGCATCGTGTTCGGGCTCGGTGACCGAACCCGAAAGCTCGGTACCGAGCCCGAACGTGGCCCAAAATTGGCCGAGCTCGAACATTTATATATATATATATAGGGCTCCGGGGGGGGCATTGCCCATCACTTCTGAACATACACACATGCACACACACACCCCATACACACGCACACACATCTGCTGATGCAGCTGATGCACCTGATGTAGCTGCTGCATTTGCTGCACAAAAATACAAAATCACACACACACACACACACACACACACACACACACACACGCACGCACACACACACACAGACACAGACACATCTGCTGAGGCAGCTGATGCAGCATCTACAACAATTGCTGCAGTAGTAACTGATGCAGCGAATGTAGCTGCTGTATTTGCTGCACACAAACACATAATCACCCACACACGCGCGCGCGCGCACACACACACACACACACACACACACACACACACACCTATTGCTGCCCACTATGGCCCTGGTACCGGCCACACGAGGACACTTTTAATATGTTCGGTTCCCGCTCGGCCGAGCGTCCGAACATGTTTGGATGCTCGGTAGGGCGCCAAACATGTTCAGATGCTCGGTAGGGTGCTGAACATGTTAGGTGTGCTACGCAGGAAACGACCTTCATATCAGTTAATGAAGAGGCATTGGGAGAGAGAAAAAACATGGAGAAAATTTCAGAAATCGTGTTTCGCACTTTCAACTTTCAGTCCTTTACGGTTATCTGGATGGGGTTCACAAGCAGTTCAGATGCATGCATGTGGCCAACTTTCCTACAGATACTACTATTTTTTCCATGTCATTTCGGAGAAATGCAATGGATTTTCATCGGAACGAGTGAATTGTGATGCATCTTTGTGAGTGGCTGAGTTTATTTTGACAAGTTCTTTGCCTGATTGCTAATCTGGCAAAAGTTTCAAAATTTGCTTTCGCCACTTCTGCTTTTGCTCGACTACAAAAACGCAATGCATTTGTCCTAAAAAATTCCCAAATCTTCACTGACTACGGGCCAATAAAAAATCTGCGAAGATTCGGATCCTCGGCAGGCCTGAGGGGCCCTTGTTGCATCAGTGCCTGCCCTAAGTGAAGGCGGGCCTAACAAATCACGAGAAGCCCTCTGCTGCCAATTTCTTATTTTGGGGTCCAGGCAGTTTCGTCGTGCCAGTTGGTTGAGGGAAACACAGGCTGAGAGCGAGGGAAATTCCCAGGCCTTCTAGGCTCTTCCGAAACACAGACAGTTGGGAGGCCCAACCGAATGAGGCCCAGTAGCTGCACCAGAGGCGCAGCATCCTGGGGCCTACCGGAAGCTTCTAGGCCCAGGCCCAGGCCAGCCAGGCTGCGAAGGCAGGCAGGCTCTTTCCATATAGGAAAGAGATCGCTGCCTGGAGTCTCATTCGGGCACTTGCTGGTTGGCGGCAGTGCTGCTGGAGCTCATGCTTGCGGGCTGGCTGCTACCGCTGGAGCAAGGTGCCGCGCACGTGCGGTCGTGTGTGGAAGAAGGGCGCTGCTGAGGGCAGCGCCATAGCCCAGCCTTCATAGCTGGCTGAGGGCTTGGATGTACAGTGAGGCGCAGGGGTGGTCTTCGGGTGTAGAAAGGGAAGACGTGGGAGTAAGACGAGGGAGAGAGAGAGAGAGAGAAGGATGATGATGATGATGATGTGGTGAGGGCACATACCTGGTATTGGCGATAGTCTGCATGGGAGACATCTTCAAGTACTTCGGAGGCTGCTGACGTCAACAGTTGCATTGTCAATTAGTAGGCAGAGAGTAGCTGTGAAGATAGTAGGCTGGGCGCCGAGCGCCAAGTAGGAAGATAGGGCCTGAACACTCATGTTCGTGGTGCCGAGAGTAATCTCTCATTCTTCATTGGTGTTATATTGGTGCATTTCTGCTTTCTGGACACAGTGATACTATCTGGCCCTCAATGTGATTGTGTATGCTGGTCATTGTCATCTCGCTATTGGTCATTTTCCTTGCAAATCTGACTTATCAAGTTATTAACAAAATGACAAAATGTAACAAAATTTTAATTTTTGATTTTTAAACTTACAAAGGTTATAATACCGTTATATCCTTCCTATGCCAATAAGAATTATGATCCCGGACCTCGCAGATATACTTGCATTTTACAATGCGAAAACCCGATGCATGTCCAACTACTACATGTAAGCAGGAATCATTAACAACATCTAACAAAATTTAAAAATTTAATTTTTGATCTTACAACTAATACAAAGGTTATATGAGCTTATATCCTTCCTATTCCAATAAGACTTATGATCCCGGTGAACCCACACAGATATACTTGCAGTCTTGCATTTTACAATGCGAAATGAGTTTTCGCATTTTACAATGCAAAAACCAGTGGCATGTTAAACAACTACATAAGCAGGAATCAGGCGTGAGAACAACATGGCGGTGAAACCTTACAACTTACAAGCCTGCCAGATGGCAGTCCTCTCTCTACTGTACCATATTGGATGAAACACCTCCAGCACATACCAGTTTGTTCAACTTCTTTTCTTCTTTTCTTCTTTTTCTTCTTTTTTTTTTTTTTCTTCTCTTCCTTCTCTTTATAAAGGGCAATGGCTTTGACTCTTGTGTGGTATCATCGTTCAAGGGTTCAACTGATCGGTCCCATGAAATTCAGAGATGTTTAACTCGTCTGATCTCATCAGGTTTTGAACTCAGGTAGTTTTATCAACAATTCATGGCTGCACCATTCACTGACATTCAGGCACATGGGCTGGGTACATGAAGTACAAACTAGAAAACTAGATGAACGGACGATCGTTTATGCCATCCGTTGAAAATTGTACGTGTACCGGCGAATCTTGCAGGACTATATTAATCGAGGCCTTTTTCAACTCTCCTCGGTGTGTGCAACAGTTTGTCTCCTGGTCCAAACTCCAAACTGGCAAGCCCTCTTCCGCTGGACACAGCACTACATTATGGGCGCAACTCCATTCTCGTGTGGGGAATGCTGCTGCTGCGGTTCACCTTTTGCCGGCAAATCGCCTGCTGTCGGTAGACTGACATCAATAGAAATGATTCCGGACACCCCCCCCCCGCCCGCCAAAAAACATCCACATGCGCATGCATCCAGCTCGTCTACCCTATAGGTAATATCAACAATTGCATTTCATTAAAAAAAAAAAAAAAAAAAAAAAAAAAAAAAAAAAAAAAAAAAAAAAAAAAAAAAAAAAAAAAAAAAAAAAAAAAAAAAACCAACAACAACAACATAAAATGAGAACAGGATAGAATAACTTTTAAGTAAGAAAAGCGACGGGCTCACGCGGGGGTTCGCGACCGAAACCTAGCCCAAGGTCCATGGTAAACACAGGCTATTTCTATCGTTCATGTTTTCCATGTTTGCTGCTGTCAAGATTCGTATGAGAACCTATACCTATACGAGTCGCACCCTCTAGATCAGAGCCCTGAAGGAATCAGAAGCCCCTACTTTGGCAAGATCAATTTGAAAGGGGTAGCGAGATAGTCGCAAAGTTCACAAAGTTCACATTAGCTTTCCCAACTTTTCCGTCGTTGGGGGTTTTGCATGATGGGTGCGCAGCCATAGCCAGCATGTTCTGGCTCTCTCTATACTGTGCCGTCTATTGCAGGGTGTTCATGGCAGGCAGGTGCCCAAGCGGACATGATTTGTTCTTGTTTTCGACTTTTCATCAAGTATGCTGGTGTGGTTTTCCAATAAAAGCTCTCTCTCCCTTTTTTTCTTTTTTTCTTTTTGGACCATTTCTCGATTTACGCGGTGAGTCGTCCTTGCGCAGGGGTCCTGCAAATCTTCTCTGTATTGTTCCAATCCTTTTAATGGATGCCCCAAACGACACTACGCAAGGCTTTTTTTTTTTTTTTTTTTTTTTTTGACATAAAACAGGTCCTTATGGCCCTGGCTCCATTTCCATTCTGGTGATTTTGTAAATACAAGCTCTTTCTTTTGGTGTGAAATTTCATATTTTCTTCTCTCTCAGGATATGGTCCCAGTGGTCCCAATCTTCGAAGTGTTCATGTCAACTTCATGAGCGATGATTGCTGAAATTGTTTTTTTTTCGAAGCTTTACAATTCTCAACAGCAAATGACAAAGTGTCAAGCGATAAAACGATAAGCAAGTGATGAAAGCATGAAAAGTTGAAAACAAATAAAGCATACATGTGGCGCATCACGTGCGCCGCACAGCGCATGCATAAACGTGTGCGCACACGTGATGCGACGCATTTACAGGAAAAAAAAAAAAAAAAAAAAAAAAAAAAAAAAAAAAAAAAAAAAAAAAAAAAAAAAAAAAAAAAAAAAAAAGGGTAGGCCATGGTACCCATATGTGTCCCTCCCTTTTAGAAATTGTAAGTGCACAGAAAGAGAATATTTTGGGGCCTCTTCGTATTACTCATTGGTAATATTCTCCTTTCCAAAGGGTTCCCTGCTGAGAATCAGCACGGATCCCATTCATTTGGAAGGGCGTTCCTTGCACTGGTGGAAGAACACGAGCAGGCCAGGAATATATATTGTAATGACCCGCCATAACACAGACTGAGAACACTGCTGATTTCTGAAGTTCTGCCGATGGAATGGATACCTCGCTGAGATTCCCACATTCTGCTGAGTTTTCTAAGTCTGTATGACCTGCGTGCCTGTCTGAGTGCTTGTCGGTACGAGTGTGTGTGTGACCCGCAAGGGTACTTGCTTGTTTGGCAGGCCCGTAGGGCCGGTACTTACCTGTAGCCGTGGCATTGAGGGTTGCAGCAGGGAAAACACTCAAGTAGCGGAGCCAGGGGCCCGCGGTGCTTAGAGCAGCGGAAAAACACTCAAGTAGCAGGTAGGCCGGTACCGCACCCAGTAGCAGTAGATGTGCCGGGTACTCAAGGCCGAGCAGAAGAAGACAAAGTTGGCATTTTTAGAGGCCCAGTAGCGGTAGGCTAGGTCTAGGCCGGTACCAGTCCATCCAGTCTGAGTCTAGAGCCTGTACGGGCAATATCAGAGTCTGCAATGATGTTTCTCTCCGAAAGGCAGGAGGTGCCGGTTGCTTGGGAGGCCGAGCGGCCTGGAAGTCACCGCCGCGCAGGAGGCAAGCAGACCGGTATATCAAGAGGCCGAGGGAAGAGCTCGGCCTCATTCTTCAGTGTGCGAGTTGGGCGTCACGCTGCTGGAGCGCTGGTTGGAAGAGCACTGGCTGCTACAGCGCTGCTGGGAGGAAGAAGCCGGGAGCTTCCACCTTGGCTGTGGTGGAGCTCTACCGGTAGGAGGAGGAGGGAGAAGGGGACCATGGAGGAGATTGGCGAGGTACTTACCTGGCTATGGTGGACACCATCTTCATCACCTTGTTAGGCGCTGCATCTGGAAGGCCCCAGTTGGGGTAGTGCCGCACCAAGGAAGCTCGGGACAGAGTCAGGCATGGCGGTTGAGTGGGCAGCGGCATAGCTGCCTGTTGTTGACCTTGGGACAAGAGAGCAGTGACATAGCTGCTTTGGGTTGTCCTTTGGACAGGAGGGTAGAGCCCTCAGTGCTCCGCCATAGCCTTGGCCTATATGAAGAGGAAGAGGAAGGGTGGCCACGGCTATGGTGGACCTCATGTTGTGCCTGCAGTAGAAGTGGGATTCGGACATTGATTCTGGTTCAGCCATTCAACATTATTATTGTTACTTCTTATTTGACTAAGAGGGGAGGAGATAAGGAGGAGGAGACTGGTTGGCGAAGAAGAAGAGCCTTGTCATTGGTCTATGCTGGAGTACATCATCTTCTTCTTCTTTCTTACTTCTTCTTCTTCTTCTTCTTTCCCTCTCTCTCCTCTCAAGTTCATTCATTTCTTTTTGCAATTGGACGTCATTGTACTTTCCATGGCTACGATCCAGACGTCCGGACCGCCGTCCGGATGGTCTGGATTCAGTCCGGAATCCAGACGTCCAGTCTGGAAGGTCCGGATCTGGCAAATTTCCAGAAAAA